CCATGACGCAGCCTCACGTGACCCAGGCGAGTCGTCTAGGCTAGTTCAAGACCCACAGATCATTTCGCTTCCATTGACGGCTAGGTGTGTTATTGGTAGTCTTGTTTGTCAAGTGTGCTCTCAACCTTACTGCACGTGTCATCAAGTTTTCATCATCCAGTAAGTTATTTACGTTATATTTTAAAAGAAATTTAAATACGTAGATTTAAAAAAGTTTTTGCCTAAAATGTATTAATTATAACGCTTACTATATCAACATCACCTAAAACTAATTATGAAATGAAAAATTACGAATTATAACTGTTGGTCAACAATCCCCCATATACACAATGCCTTTCTACAATGTATTAGAAGATAATCAGTTGTGTGTATTAGTATTTATTACTTTTATTTATCGGTTAAAAAAAGTCAAACATTTACAACATATCATCTTAAACTAGCAGTAACTTAATTATTAATAACTATCAACAAAGTCACACAAACTGCACTCGTCTATTTTTGCACTAAACTTTTTATTTACCATTTAAGCGTTATGTTCTTGTGCTGCTTCGATTTTGAGGCGTGTGTTAATTAAGCTGGTTTAGTGTATTGTGTTAATTTCGCTGGGGGGAATGAAGTTGTGTATTGATTGTATCACAATGAGTGTTATTTGTAATGCAAAGCTCTTTGCGCCTGACAAAAGAGTTAATAGTCGGATTAGATTCCCCTGCTCTCTGGGTTATTGAGCGCGAGTTTTTCCCCTAGACCACGCCATCCATAATGCATTTTGAAAAATTTACAAATATATCTTGTTCCTACATTTAATTTGAAGCTCAACATGGAGAACGACAACTTATTTTTCGGTCCATCGGTCGGTGGGCGGAAGGGGAAGTGACAATTCCACTTTAAAAAAAAAAACAAAATATGCCTGAAAGAAACTCTGAATAACGGGACTGGTAGGGTGGCGATGCTGGTGTGCATTGAATTCAACAAAGTGGGTCGCAAACGGTGGGTCGATAGGACCAGTGTGGGGATTTTATTTTCTAAAAATAGTTCAGTTGGCTGTCTTTTTTTTTTTACCGTGTGTACAAACTTTCTGACAATAGCCACATTTTTATAAACACGGGAGTCATCCTGTCATGCTAACTGAGCACGTGCATCCAGAGTTTCTTCCAGGCATCTCTTCCCGCCCCCCCCCCCCCCCCGCCGGAAATTGTTGTCCGCATTCCCCCCCGCCCCCCCCCCCCCCCCCCCCCCACTGAAAATTTCAATTGCACCCCCGGGGAAAAAAGTCTGGAAGAAACACTGCGTGCATCCTCGTTGTGAAGGACGCCGTTTTGATTCACGACTCGGACTGGCCCGCCAACCTGTACGCTATTTATAGAACCCGTCGTCTAGACTGGGATTTTATAGGTCAAACGGGCTCTTTGCGCAGTTGTAGTTCTCAATGTCACGGCCGCTATTGAGGTTAACGTGACAATATACATATTGATCTGCCTTGAAGATTTCGTTTAACTTTTTATCTAACAATAATGGCTTAGTTACTTAAAATTAAGAGGCATTTTATGCTCGTTCTAGTTCGTATTGACAACATCATTTCGTCATCTAGTTTAAGAGAAAATAAAATGGGGTCGGTGTCGTTTTTTTTTTTTTAATAAAAATAAAATGGTGTTTCTTAGCTTTAGGAGGTTTAATATGGAAAGCGTTGTGCATAATGGGGTGTTTATGGGTCACTCATATTTCATAGTAAAGTATGGTTCAACTTCAAAACTGAAAGTCTATGGGGCAAGTGAAGTAGAGTTCACCTGTTTCTGTGGCCTCGGCATATAAAGGGTCAATGTGGTCAGCACTATGGCCAGCCGTCTTTAAGTCCCTTACGTGAGTTAGGTGCCTATTAGAGTTGGGTGGACTCACGGACGTTTTATTGACTAACCCGGAATTGAACTCGGGTTAGCAGTCTAGCTCTCCTCTTCTAGACTACTCAGTCCCATAATAGAATTTTGTCAAATTCTTGGCCGTGCATGTGGTAAGCCTTTTTTATTTAGCAAAAAGATTAATTAAAGGTTAAGTATCTTTTCATTATGAATATATATTTTTTTCCTTAGGGCCATTACACTGTTTACTCTATTTAACCGTCAACTGCAATATGCCTGTATACACAAGGGGTGAATGTGTATGATAAAAGTAAGGAAACCATTCTGTACAAGCTGTTATTTACGCCTCAATGGAGTCAACCACTTCTACCAAACTGTCTTTTTTTTACAAATTGTGTTTAGACCACACAGAGGCGTAGCGACCCTTCCCGGCGCCCGGGGACAAACTTTCAATTTGGCGCCCCCCTCGGGAGCAAATTTTCAATTTGCACCCCCCCTCCTCAACTTTTCGATTGCACCCCCCCCCCCCAAACTTTCGATTTTCACACCCCCCCCCCCCCCTCAAACTGCAAAAATGCAGCAAAATTGACATTTTAATTTGTTTTTACAACCCATTTTGGCGCCCCATAAGGTCGGCGCCCGGGGACGTATTCCCCCCCCCCCCCCCTGCCCCCCCCCATCGCTACGCCTCTGAGACCACACGTGTAGGACTACTACCCAGAGGCTGGCGACCCATCCCGGCCCACTGGGCAAACTTTCAATTTGCCCCCACCCCCTCCCCATATAAATGTGACGCAACCGAATTAAGCAGTGTAAGCAGTGTACACATTCTTACAGCTCTTTTCGTTAAACATAATATTTTTTTTTATTAAATGGCTAATAAGTAAATACAATATAATGGGACATTCCTCACCTTACGAAATCTTTTAGAGACTTTGTTTGTAGGATTTGACAACTCGATTATGCTTTCTTTGTCTTAAGCCCACCCACCCGCAACACACACATACTAACGATATAATTACTTACTGATCGCACTCTTCATGCCAATGAATTAAGCTATTCATTCCAGTTAGTTAACACGAAAGCTATTTTAAACAACGAGATCACAATTAAAACACGTAGCGATGCGGTCATACACAGCTTGCGACGGTATCGAAAGAGTGGGCGGGCTGATTCAATACAACAGTACATGTCGCCAACTTTTTTTTTTAGAGACCCAATTCAGCGATCCAGCTCTTTTCATTGTGTGATATGATCATTCGTTTTTTTTTCTTATCTTGATATTCCCTGCATCAGGCGGCTTTAAAGAATCAAGTGTAAGTAGATTAAATGTTTTTTTTAACCTGCACCTATATCCAATACCGGTTTAGAAAGTTATATCTGATGATGACAATATTTTGTTCCAACTACTACCAAACTATAATCCTAAACCTAACTTACTGTAATTTCTCTTCTCGGAATGTTTACTTGACGCGTATTACAATGTAATAATATGATTTTGTTGAGACTATCAGCGAGAAGACATAGATAGGTGTGTCATTTGGTCAGTGTGTATGTGGTGTGTGTCATTTGGTCAGTGTTTATGTGGTGTGTGTCATTTGGTCAGTGTGTATGTGGTGTGTGTCATTTGGTTAGTGTGTATGTGGTGTGTGTCATTTGGTCAGTGTGTATGTGGTGTGTGTCATTTGGTCAGTGTGTATGTGGTGTGTGTCATTTGGTCAGTGTGTATGTGGTGTGTGTCATTTGGTCAGTGTGTATGTGGTGTGTGTCATTTGGTCAGTGTGTATGTGGTGTGTGTCATTTGGTTAGTGTGTATGTGGTGTGTGTCATTTGGTCAGTGTGTATGTGGTGTGTGTCATTTGGTCAGTGTGTATGTGGTGTGTGTCATTTGATTAGTGTGTATGTGGTGTGTGTCATTTGGTCAGTGTTTATGTGGTGTGTGTCATTTGGTCAGTCTGTATGTGGTGTGTGTGTGTGTGTCTGTGGGACGCATTTTAGTTCATTGCGTTATTCTAAGTAGAACTTAACAAGCTGGATCGACCTTTCACTACCACAACACCTCTCACCCAACACTACCATATATATAAATAATATATATATATATATATATATATATATATATATATATATATATATATATATATATATATATATAAATCAGGGGCCCTTGACTGCAGTTCCCTCAGTCCCCCCCCCCCCCCCCCCCGTAATCCGCTACCACTCATCGCACAAAAGACCTATATACTCCGTTTTTATAAGTTCAATTATGACCTTTCGATTGAATAAATTAAATTTTCTTTAATGTACTGTCCCGGTGTAATTTCGCTGCATAGATGCGCCACCTGGGGTCGCTTGTCATATGACTAGGTTTGCGTTGTTGGTATAACAAATAATTTCGTCCGTTGGAAAGCTGGTGTTTCGTACCAAATTAGTTTGCCATAATTTGTTTAGATCATCAACTTTCACAACACTGCTGTCTCGTTGTGTGTAAAATAAGTATTAATGTATCGCTGTCATTTCAAAAGTTAACAATGCCCTTTTAAATGCTCTATCAATCGTTGTATTTCCCAACTACCAGTTTTCCTGTGATTTAAGAGCCCGACTAAGTACTGTGTATAAGACTTTCTAAATGCCTTTAGATTTGACTTTAAAAAGCCAAATAAGTAAATGTATGCGCATAATCCGTATGTAGTATGGGGAGCAACGCAGAGGCGTAGCGACTCTTCCCGGCGCCCGGGAACAAACTTTCGATCTGCACCCCCCCCCCTTTCAAGATTTCGATTTGCATCCCCCCCCCTCAAGCTTTCAATTTATTTTTCCAACCCATTTTGGCGCCCCCTAAGGTCGGCGCCCGGGGACGTATGTCCCACCGCCCCCCCCCCCCTCGCTACGCCTCTGGAGCAACGGTATTTATGTGTATCTCTGAGTTCTACAATAAACCTAACACAATTTCTTTTTAAATTTTATTTTCAAGATCAAAAATGTTGTTAAAAGTTTTATCAATGCTGCTGATGACTTGTTGGGGAGAAGCGTTGATGACGTGTAGCAGTGGTGAGCGGTTGGTCGATGGTACGTGCCATCCCTGTCCTGATGGAACATTCATGATGGACAGAAATCATACCAACACTGCATGTGTAGCCTGTTTTTCTACACAGAATATTCAGTATCGAAGGGCAATGATTATTATTCGACATTGTAACAGAACGCATCAGGCAGGACTAGGCTGTGAAAATGGCTACTTGTATGTCCCTAGCAGCCACCCCAGTACTTCTGTTGGTGAATGTGACAACGTACATCTAGGTGAGTCTTGTGGTCTATCAAAACCTGAAGTTTCTTGTTTTATGGAGTAGGGCGTTGCTGCTGATCCAAGTAGATGCATGCGGATAGCATATATTTTGATATTAACGAATTCGTTGAGGATGTTTTTATTTTATTTACAATTTATTTATTTTTCAGAAGTAAATTTTATTAATGCATTTATCTTTTTAAAATTTATTATTCATGTACAGTTTTAAATTGTACGATTGAATAAATTCCAACCTATGTTGACATTATTAATACAGTGATTATGATTTATTTACCAACACGTTAAAACACACTTTTATATAATTACTTCAACTTTGTTGCTGAATAGAGCTAATACTAAAAACTTTTATTTATATTTATAGACATTAATACCTTTTGTTTCTCTATCAAGAAGATGTGACAGACAGAACACAGAACGAGAGGACAACTGAAGTTGTGAGAACTGGAGGAACTACAAGTAAAGAATATAAGATGCCTGCTTTGATAGATCTAATTTTACCGAGCTGTGCGTGTATCATTGTTACAGTTGGAGTGTCAATTTTCTGCGTCTACACAAAATGTCAGAAGTCTAAAAACGGTAAGGAAGATGTGGAAATGATGGAGCGCAAGGGCACAAACAAATCCAGGAATCAAAGGGAAGTTAAACCCCTAAACAGTCAGTAGGAGCAGTCATTTTTTGTATTTCGACAATCGCCCTTGGTTTTCAAATCAGTGTGCTGTTTTCAGTATAATGATGGAATTTTTAAAAACTGTTTGTAAGAGGTGACATTGCTTCACAGATTGAGCTTCAAATTATGTTACATTAGCCTTAGTATTATTGTGTAAATACTTTTTTTTCATCAGGACTGTAGATTACATTATTTATTCACCTGCATCTATTATTTGTGTTATTAATGATCATTTTTTTAAACTGCCAAGACAAATCTTGTTTTTATTGATTATAATGTTGATGAAATAAATGTCAATGATTGGTTTATAAAGTTGAATGTAGCTTTTACCAAATCAATGCTGAAATGTGCTTATTTATTCAGCATTATTTCCACACTGTCCGTCATTGTTTAACTGTATCTGTCAGCGTAAAATGTGTGGTTCCTCACACCCTAGTGTGACAACAGTGATTAGATATAACCACGTCTGCAGTGTAATAGGATATTTACTGTCTACCTTTAGAGTGACGTCATCGGTAAATTATAAATTTAGGAATCTAAATTTATATTGATAATACCGTGAATACTCATCAAGGTTATTCTATTGTGATCAAAATCAGAAGAGTGTTGTAAAAGTTGATGTACTTACAATGATTTGTTTGGGAGGGGAATAAAGTGTCCAGTCTAAATTATGAAGTCTGTTGTTTTATTGAATTGTTGTTGTTTGTATTTAACCCATAAGTATGAGAGCTACCCTGAAATATATTGAACTGGTATACAATAACGTGCATTATAACTGAACGACTAATAACACTAAAAAATAAAACTGACGAAAGAGCTGGGTGGACTCAGGGATGTTCTACTGACTTGTACCTGGATTCGAACTCGAGGCTTTCAGCTTAGCAGTCTAGCTGTTGAGCGCTAGGACACGCCGTTTGCAAAAGGTATACTACGTCGAAAGTCATATTGGTGCGAGTCTCCTGGAATGTCGAGAATGTATGCACATTTTGAAATGCTTACACTGAGACCTGTTATACGGCAAAAACAAAATGGTTTGGGATTTTGAGAAGGGGTGGAATGAAGGAGGGGGGTTACAAATTTTAAGAAGGTAATTATTCTAAATGTAGTTTTACATTTTTTAATACATATTTATGGTTTGGGGCAAGGATCTATTCTCTCGTAATCTGAACAAGTCGAAATGACAAGTTGATATTTCTACCTGGGTCTCTATAGTAAAGTTATCCTTTCTGATCTAACGATCTACAAAGTAGTGAAGTTCTTTCCCTAACTCTAGGCATGTAGCCTACAATTCAGAGTTTAGAGCGTAGGCAATTGGTTTCTTTTAATAGTGGTAACGTTTATCGACTCAACAATCTAGTGTAAATTCTTCAGTTTTAAGTCTCGAAAAAGCGCCCCCCCCCCCATCTAGGAAAAGCTTCAAAGCGGTTTTGCCGGTCACTGTTTCTTAAGAGTATATGTTTTACATTAAGAAATCAAGGTAGAAAACAGTTAAATCAGTATGTGAGGCGTGTAGCCATTACATTTCTTAACTTATACAGTTTATAATTCAAAACTGCAGCATAAAATCAGCTTTAAATTTTTTTCCCACCCCTTTTGGCGCCCCCATAGGGTCGGCGCCCGGGGCGGCCGCCCCCCCGCCCCCCCCCCCCCTAGCTACGCCTCTGGCCAGGCAGCGCGATCGTTGTTGCTTGACATGATTGCTAAAAGGAGAGATAACTCTTCCAGTCTCACAAGAAGAGTATGAAAACGAGTAACATCTTATTCAACAATCACAGGAGATAAGTTAATAATAATAATAAATTACGTGTATTAATAACAGATGTTTGAAATAAAAGAGCTTGTCATGTTTGACAGCCTCAAAGGTGATGCAATAGTAGCAATTAACAAAACTGAAATGCTTTACATTTTTATAATGATATATCTATTTACAACTGCTGCTAGCAATAAAGGAATTGCCTTGTATGGGAAACTTCAAAAAATAGTGCAAATAAAATACTTTCAAATAACAGAATTTTTCAATCTGCTAATTTCTGCGAAAAATTACACGGATGAACAAATTTAAAAGAAAAGAACAGTGGTGGGGCGGGGTGGGGTAGGTGGGGGTTGGTTGGGTAAGGCAGGCCAGGCAGCGCGATCGTTGTTGCGTGACATGACTGCTACAAGGGGAGATAGATCTTCCTGTCTTACGTGAGACAGTATTAGGGATATCCAGCATTGCTGACAAAGGGGAACTCAAATACATTGCTTCTTTTTTTTGGAGAGGTGATATATGCATGAACAACAGATGTATGAAACAAAGGAACTTGTCTTGCTTGACAGCCTCAGAGTTGGTACAATACTACAATTTCAAAAAGAAATTAACATTCTTATAAAGGTTTGTCTATTGACAGCTGATGCTCACAATATAGGGCTTATTCAAATTTTATTCAAATTTATTCAAACAACGGTTACTATTGTAGGCACAAAGGCCTTTTTTTTCACATTGGTCGTTTAAACATTGTGTATGGCATTGTAAATAAATAATGCAATTACAAAACTTTCAAATAAAAAATTCCAAACTGTCAAAATGTGCTGAAAAGTTACCTGGATTAACAAAATTAAAGGAAAAGAAACGTGATGGGGCGGGGAGGTGTAGGTGGGGGTTGGTTGGGTAAGGCAGGCTAGGCAGCGGGATCGTTGTTGCGTGACATGACTGCTGAGGCTGAAGGGCGGGTTGTGGTGGTTGACGGGACATGGGGAGACGTCTTGTGCCCTTGCTTTGTCCTCTAACTCCGTCCTGTCTCAGCCTGTCTGCAATAATTTTTTTGGATAGTTTAGATTTTTTTTTATAAAGTTCAATTCTGTATGATTGTAAAATGTTAATAATAAAGAATTACTTAAATTTAATAGAATTTAAAAGACCCCATTCTTATAGTGTAAATCTTCTATAGTGCTTATTGTCTAAATTTATTTTAAAAAAAATAATATTGAAGGTGTTTTAAAGCATTTTTTATTTTTCGTACTTAAAATAATAATTTTAAATCTGTTCATTGAGCAAAAAATATTTTTAAAAAATCACATTTCACACAAATTCTAATTATGTCTGAAAATTAATTACATTTAGTCTTTTAGCACTTATTACGTCCCTTGACAAATTAGGAAAAAGCACAATTACTTCCCTGTACAAAACCATTACATCAGGGGGGAAAAATACTTTAGCCTCCCGACAAATGGACTCCCGACATATTGGCTTCCGACATAAAGGCTCATGACAAATGGACTCCCGACAAATGGGCTCACGACATATTGACTAGCAGTCTAGCTCTCTAACGCTAGGCCACGCAGACACCGATGTAGGTAATTATTCTCAATGGGGTTTTACATCTTTAAGTACATATTTATTGGTAGGTGAGAGGATCTATTCTGGTATTGTATATGCACACACAATATCCATCTAATGTAATTCGTTTAAAAAGACTTAAAGGAGTATGATCAGTGTTATATGCCTATTCGTCTATCTTTATAGAATCGATTTTTTAAACATTTACATGCAGCACTAGGCTCCATAGGGTTTATTTTTAATTGAATGGTCTCAATAGTAATGTCAAGTGGTTCAATATACAATGCGAGTGGTAAATATAAAAGAAAAAGAATACCGTTTCGAACCTTATATTCAATGGGGCAGATGAAGTAGATTTCACCTGTTTCAGTAGCTGCGGCACGTGAAGGGATACACACTGACCAGCCGTCTTTATTTTCGTTAAAGCCTGGTAGGTACCCGTCAGAGCTGACTGGACTCAGGGACGCTTACGAACTCGAACCCAGATCCGAACTCCATACTTCTATGTTAGAAGTCAAACGCTTTACCATGCGACCACGCCGTCTATTAGGTTTGATATACCGCATTTCAATCGTAGCTTACCTCTGTAGCCTATCAGTCAGAAACATATAACACGTTAAACATTCAGCGACATTCTCTACCTTCTTGTATTTGTTACGGCTATTTTCTCCACCTCTCAACAAACCGATATGACATCTCAATATTTCTACATGGGTCTTTAAAGTTATCCTTTCTGACCTAACGATCTACAGAGCAATTCTTTCCCTAACGCTATGCATGTAGCCTACCATTCAGAGTTAGGCAGACTCATGTACATCCTACGGACTTGAGAACGGGATCAGGGTTAGCAGTCGTACGGCCTATATTCAGGCTATACTACTCCATACGACCGACGGCATAATGTTAAAGGAAGTGGCGGAAAGAAAATATAGGCCTACATGTTCACATAAACGACCTGGTGAACGCAAAAAAGTCACAGGAAAAAAACCACTGAAAAAATGTCACAGTTTTTGCTAGAAAATAAAAGTCATAGAATAAAAGTCACAATGGAAAAATTTTATCGAAAAAAAAAGTCGCAGAAATAAAGTCACAGAAAATAGTCACAAAAATCTTTTTAGAAATATATTGATTTATTTGTTAAGAATTGTAAAATTTTATGTTTATTGATGTGGGTTGATTTTTTGATAGCACAAATTATTTATAGACGTTAAAAGCATTATGGTTTATAACCATTGTAAGTAAAAATATTCTAAGATAATTTACACAACAATTTCAACTTTTGTTACGTATTTAGTTAAATACGCGGTAGAAAAGTTAATAATAAAAGAAATTTAGGCACATCGTGTTTTGCACATCTTTTGCGGTAGGCTATTCTCTGGTCGGCCTCTCCTCAGTAGGCATTGTCCGAACTCCGAACATGTTTTGTGTAGTTGACGTTTTGCGTCAATGACAGCCTTTGAACCTTATAGGCTTTCTGTTTTGATATTAAGTTTTGTTATGTAATGAGCGTGATAAATGTGGGCAGTAAAGGTGGTTGAACTAAACATAGTTATTGTTGCAATACGTCGAGGGTAGAAAGACAGATGATTTACCATTTCACGGTAATTTAATGTTGGTATTTTAAAAAGAAAACACACGATGAAACCCGTAGACTTTGGAGCATTCTATTAAATGCTATTAATCTTATGTTTAATATAATTACAATCTACATACTTCATACTAAATATTTTTAGATTAATTATTAAAATTACTATGCGTTTACAACTTACACACATTACATTACATTTAATTAATACTAAGTTAATTTGCACTCTCTAAATATTTAATACATAAAAGTTCTAACAAATTTCATGCAAATATATTTTTGTGACTTTTTTTTCCTGTGACTTTTTTTCTTGTGACTCTTTTCTGGTTTTTTTCCTGTGTTTTTTTTTCCTGTGACTGTTTTTCATACAATCAAACGACCTATGATAAAATTTCGACTGAAGTAGAAGACGTGTAAATTGTTTTACTTGCTTTTTAACAAAGGGAAGATAGAGATGAGAATGGGTACACGGCGAACTAAACGTACACGGCTAAGAGAATGTCCGACGGCGACGAAAACGGAGACATGGCAAAGAGAACGTAGACACTGTAACGAAAAAGCAGACACGGCGAAGAAAACATACACACGGCGACAAGAATACTGACACGGCGAAGAAAATGGGGACACGGCGAAGAGAACGTACACACGGCGACGAAAGCAGAGACACG